GGCGGAAGTTGGGCTCGTGTCTGAGACGCCCTGTCCGGACCGCCGGTCCTCTCTTTCTCCTAACGGGCCCCACCTGCTCTGAAATCACCACTAGGAGAACAGCCCACTCTCCTGCCCTCTGGCCGACCTGTTCTCCTGCTGCCACCACGGCTGGCTCCCCGTCACTTCAGTCCTCAGACACCTTCCCTGGCCACTCCATCTGTGTCACGTTTACCCCAATACTCTGCCCCTTCCCGTGCTCTGCTTTTCATTCAGCGTGCTTTATAACCCTCTGGTGGCATATTCCTAGGTTTGAAATCTGTATTCCCGACTAAAATAGAAGTTCCATGATAGAAGAATATAATTGCTTCTGTTTTTTACTATCTCCCTAATACACGGAGCAGCACCTAGCACGTAGTAGGGCTTGGTAAATCGCACAGTTGAGTATTTTCCTTCCTTCATTCCTTTGCTCTGCCACCGCGTCCCCCACTTTAGTTCCTAAGGGCACAGACACCAGTGACAACTGCCAGCTGCCAGGAGCTCTTTACCCAGAAGGAGAGGGACACTCACAGAAGTCCTTACGGCCCAGCACGCAAAGGACGTGACTTATACAAAGGTGGCAGACGATGGTTAGGAAACACCAGACAACGTTCAACCTGAGCAGAATTTAAAAGAGCGCGTCAGCGTGACTCAGGCAGATGTTAGTGGAGGCATTCGGAGCTGGGGGAGGTGTGCACGTGGGCGGAGAGGCCCGGACAGCAGGCTGGGGCCTGTAAGAGGCCTGAGCATTAGTGCAAGCAGGGAGGACTTGGGACACGGAGTGCCTATATGCACGGTCCCTCGAAAACTTTTAAGATAGGAGCCCAGTGTGGGGCTTGAACTCACAACCCCGAGCTCAAGATCTGAGCTGAGACCAAGAGTCGGATGCTCAACCCACTGAGCCCCCAGGTGCCCCTAAGATGGGATTGATATGAGCGATTTGTACTCTGCCAGACCACCAAACTTTGGAAATGCCACCTGTCAGCTTCCCTGGAGTGAGAGGTAAGTAGTCCAGATGAGAGCCTGAAGCAGAAATGGGTGAGGGAAAATAAAAAGATATATGAGATTATCATAATTCTATGAAAAAACTTCTAAAATCATAAAAGGAGTTTCATGAGTATACAAGGAGTTTCCTCTGGTTTTCTTAACACTGCTTGGCAACACCTCCAAAGTACAGAGATCCTTCAAAGTCTTAGACAGATGGCTTTACTATTTATGTGGGATATTATTATTATTATTTTTAAGATTTTATTTATTTATTTGAGAGAGAGAGAATGAGAGAGACAGCATGAGAGGCGGGAGGGTCAGAGGGAGAAGCAGACCCCCAGCCGAGCAGGGAGCCCGATGCGGGACTCGATCCCGGGACTCCAGGATCATGACCTGAGCCGAAGGCAGTCGCTCAACCAACTGAGCCACTCAGGTGCCCCTATGTGGGATATTATTAACTAATCATGAACTTTTTATACCACTGTACCAAAATTTAATAGAATTTATTAGGGATTTCAGAAAAACAAAGCTCCACAACTATAGCTAATACATAATTTGAATAACAAAATATCCTGTTTTATTTTTAAATATAATGAATTTGTTTTCAGTAGCATGCTCATTAAAAACAATGAAGCATTTCCATTCACTAAAAATGTATTTATCAATAAAATACATAATAACCTTGTAGCATAAATGTAAACTAGTCAATTTATCTCCATTACTCATGTTATGATTTACCTTTATCTTATGGTTATAGTATTTTAAATCATGAACAAATGCAGAGATCTATGCTCTATTTACAGGAGACTGTCAACGATAACGACTCCGGGTAATACTCGCTGTTGTACGCCGTCAGTATTTTCTCTGCCATCTGGATCCGACGCCAGGAGATGGGCTGCCCCTTGGCTGGCTGTTCTGTAACACAGCATCACAATATTACTGCACTCCAGTATTCACAGGCTTTACCACGGGGATCTCGCCACAGATTACAGATTGTGTAACACAGAACTCCTAATTCAAATCCCCAAAGGCTACATACTCCTCCTTCTCAACGTGACTTCCACCTCACGGAAGGCAGCATACTCATTATAATAATTCATAATCGTCACTCCTCCTATTGGTAAAAATGTGCTTAGGAGGTGCTTTTTGTCATCACCTGCTGTGTAAATGGTCAGAAGGAGTAGTTTTATGTTCTAAGAGAAGCACTCGCAGCTCGTAGAACACCCTAGGAGTAGTTCTAACAACATACATTGGGTTGAAGAAGTTAAGTTGCTTGGGAGGGCAATAGTTAAAAATTCATTAAATTCATTAAATTCATAACATTCATTTTTACAAAGGAAATAAAATACTCCAAAATGAAAATTGTGCCTCTAAGATTCACAATTTTTAGGTGGAAAGAGCACGTCTCCGGACGCCCTGCAGCAGGCCTACTGGGCTCCGGGGTCTGTGGGCCGTCTCTGCGGGCGCAAGAGCCTCAAAGGTAGGAGCATGTTACCCTCGTTCTCCGCACCACCCCCCCCGCCCCCGCCCCGAGCTCGCAGAGTGCCTGACCAGTGTGATGACTGACGAAAACAAAACATCAGACAGCTACGGTTGCCCAAAAGAGGAAGCTGTAGGTTTTGGGCGGGATAAAACTTGGGCTGGATAAGCCTTCCCAGAGGGGACGGCACTGAAGTCCAGCGTGGAGGAGGAGCAGGAGAGAGGCCAGCAGGAGGGCAGGTCCCGGAGGGCCAGGGCGGGGAAGGGCAGGGGGTGGCGGGACGTGGGGAGTTCCTGGGAGACCGATCTGTGGCTCTGGGCTGTGTGAGCGACGTGTGGGGGAGGAAGGGCGTTGAGTGCGTCCTGGCCAAGGTGATGGGTAGCCCTGGCCAGAGAGCGCCGTACAAAGATTGTTCTGGTGGTGGTGTGGATGGTGAGCTGGAGACACAGCACATCTGGAGCTGAGACGCCATCCATTCTTGACCAGGACACACTCAGGAGTGAAGAGTCCTGACGGATGTGAGGTGCACTTATTGTTAGGAGGGTTCATTGCCTGGGGCTACGGGGGAATGAGAAGCCTGGAAATCTGGAGGACAATGGTGTCCTCAACTGAAAGAAGAATTACGAAAGGTAGAAGAGATTTTGGGAGGAACAGGGGAAAGGGCCAATCCTGGCTCTGCCACTGAACATCTCTCAGACTTGAGAAAATTACTTCATGTCCCTCACTTAGTAGATCACACAAGAGAATGTGTGAAACCATTTGGCCAAGTACTTCTCAGGGGCAGGAACCCCATAATGGGCTTCCTTTGTTCTCTCTAATTATATCTCAACAATGTTCAGTTGCCACCAGAGAGGATTAATTGATTAAATATTAACATTCACCAAAGGACTTTGGAAAAACTCCAGAAATAGTGGTATTTTATTTTATGGAGCATAAAATCTGGCTTCAGAATACTAAAAAAAAAGTTTCAAGTTCAAATAAGTCACCTCATTTTATTGCAGTCTGAAAAAGGAAGATGATTCTATATTCAAAGACCATGTATAAAAAAATCACAGTCTCAACCAGTATTTTCAAGTATTTAGTATGTGCTAGTTTCTGTGAAGTGAACAGGTAAGTGGAAAAACAGCCTCAACAATACAGTTCCAAAGATTAATCACGTAAGGAGACAGCTCACGAAAATTCCTATGGAGTGTAAGTACCAAACCAGCGATACTGCGGTGCTGTGTCCAGGGGAAGGTGTGGTCAACATCGGCCACGCCGGCCGTGGAGGGCTTCGTGGGGGCAACGTCATCACGCTGGCACTTAGAAGGGCTGGATTAGGGCAACAGAGCGAAAGCATAGCCAGTGCAGTTCGGAACTGGGCGCGGACACCAGCAAAGCAGGAGCAAACCAGGGAGGCGGGATAGAGTATTGCAGACTTGGAGGACAGCCAGCGAGACTGGCTCGTCTGGAACCCAAGCTTCATCGTGTAAGAAGAGCCGCAGGTGGGGCTACGGGTTGCTACAAATCAACGGGTACAGTGAGTCCTACTAGTTACAAGGGAAAGCCATGCTCTGCATGTAGCTTGCACTTAAGTATTTTGAGGACTGCTTCCTTTCTTTGAGACAGTGTGAGCAGATAAGATGATCATAATAGAGGCAGTAATGATGCGGCACACTGAGCTGTGGGTCGCGGGAACTGTGCCACAGGCTCTGTGCCAAGTGCCTTCCAGGAGCGTCTGCCTCCCAGAACCCTCACAGGTGCTCTCAGGGGATGATGATGGCTGGGAGGAAACAGGAAAGGGTGGGCTGGATTCTGGTTCTCTGAAACCTCAGAACAGCGCTGGCTCTAAGCCCAGGTGGCTGATGCCTGAGGCGTGAGAGATGCTGAAATGAGTCCTGCTCAAAATTATTCCTAAATCCCACCAAAATCCCACTACTAGAAATTCACCAGAGCTCTTTCCAGATATTGTTTTTAAATGATTTAAATGGTTTTAAATCTTCCTGAATGATTTAAAAAAATGATAAGTCATCTTTTAAAATTCATGCTAAATACCTTAGCATGTATCAGTTCACTTTTCTCCCTAAGAGGAGAAACCCAAATCAACACCACCAAACTCCGTGGGAGAAAAAACACAAAGGGCAATAGAATTGGGGAAATACACAAAAACCAGCAACAAAAACACGCATGTGGGCATGCAGGGTGGTGGACAGGTATATAAACTTCACCCAGGTTGTGAATTTTCCAGAGAGATGTATAATGTTTGAGACTTAAACATAAATTCTCAAATCTTAAACCAATGGCATTTGAGTTTTCTGTATTGGGGTACTTGGTAGATTTATTACATAATTAATGTTGCTCTGCTGAGAAATTCAGGTCCTGAGTTAACTACATAATGCATGTAAATTATAACACTAGACATATATGACATATTATCATTTGGAAACAAAAATCTTGTAAGTTCATATGGGTATGAAAACATTGGGGTGGAAAGGTAAAATAAAATAAAAAACATTAATAAAAACCTTACTTTCCACATCTCCAAGCCCACAAATATTCCTGAATAGATATTCCTGCCATTACGTGGAGAGCACTAGGCTGTACCACAAGGGTCCTGACAAAAACAAGGCAGCTTTGGTGGTCTCCTGTGTCATATACAGAAAGTATAGGAATATGATTACAAATTGCCTTTCTAGAACATACATATTAAATAATTTTACTTATTTGGAAATTGTGATGGAGACACGGGAACAAATTTTGACAGCTTTCCAAAGACCAGGTGATGGGGATTAAAGACTATACTTATCATGATGAAAACAAAAGACCAAGAAGTATCTAAAGCCCATTCACTTTATTCCTAGGGGAGGTACTAAGCACTTATTTATTTGTGCTTTAACCATAACTCTAAAAGCTTGGACATCCATCTTCTGGACTCAAAATAAATTATAAGCAGCTAAATAGAAAATCTGAAGGAAGATACAGATAGAATCAAGCAGGTGATAAAATGAAAACAAATGGCTCTAAGAACACAAACTTTGAAACTTTGCACCCACCATAAATGTTAACCCATATCTAATGAGAAAATCATCAGAAACCTCCACATCATGGGACAGTCAACAAGACACCTGGCCCAGACTCTTCGGAGGTGTCAGCGTGCACGAAAGATTGGAGAATGAAAAGATGAGACATCCACGTACAATGTATAATCCTGGGCTGCATCCTGCATCAGAGAAGACGTTTTGTTTCGAACTGGGGAATCAATATTAATTTACCTGGGTGTGATGATGGTGCTGTGGCTATGCAGGAGAATGTCTGTTCTTAAGAGAACATGTATGCTTAAGTATTTAGTGTGAAAGTATCATCATGTCTATAACTGACTTTCAAACAGCTCACTGAAATGTACGTTTGTGTGTGTATATGTATGAATCTCTCTCCTGTCCTTTCGTCTTCTATTTATTCTATTCTTCCATCCATCCACCCACCCATCCTTCCATCTATCAGATAAAGCAAGCATGACAAAATGTCAACAAACAGTAAATGCAACTGAAGAGTAAAAAAGAATAAAAATAGTAGAAAAAGGGCAAACAAGACTAAAATGTTCAAATCCCCACACAGAACATGCGAATGAAACAATTCTGATGGGGGAGGGGGCCGTTTAAACCAGCAGTTAATGATTCTGTGACTGCATACCATTTCCCCTGAGAATGAATGGAAGGCTTCTGACCTACGTCAGTGATGATCAGGTAAGAAGAGCGACATGTTTGGAGATAAAGGGACTAAAGAAAGCTCATGGTTACCAACTGTTGTAAGGAGTGTGAAAGATCTAAGATGAAAGTGATGCCAAGCCTCTGATCAGCGGTCCTTCATCTACACAAGTAACTTTTCCGTTAGGAGTCAGAGGCTGCCGTGGCATAAGGCCACGGCACACCGACGTGCACAGCGGAGCGCTTTGCTGAATACGCGACCTTCTCTCCTTACTGAGCAGTATTTACAGTTGGTGCTCCGTTAGCTGTCTGGGGTCAGCACACAGTTTTCAGGTTGAGCTCAAGTGTAGAGAAGGATGATCTCCATCACCGTGGGTATTCTCTCACTCAGGTGAGGTGAGAACCGTTTATGTTATAAATAACAGAAAACTGTCAAAATTCAGACACACAAAAATTATCACTGCAAAAATTACTTAAGTTTCTGAATGGGTGGAGATGAAAACTTGGCAAAAAGCCACACTGGCATGTGGGCAGCCACCGTGCACGCATCTGTCAGGGGCCAAAGTGACAGACACCACGGGAGCTGTACCACTTGCCGCAGCAGAAAGACCGTTTCCGAGAACCGTCTGCCCAGAGGGAAAGAAAAAGCTTCACGAGGGCGGGGGCAGCCTCTTTGTCGTTACTTACCACCATACCCAGGACGTAGCAGAAATCTAAATCATGGTTAAGAAATGTATCACGGTGTTTATGTGACAGCAAGTAAGAAATGGAGTAGACTTGCGTAGTCTTATTTTTTCCCGTCCAGATTTCAGAACTGAGCAAGCATCCAGTCAATTCTCTAACAAAACGCTTCCTTGTCAAACACCCACGTCGAGGACAGGGAGAGCACAAGTAGCATCTTAGTCTCAGACGCCCTTTCCACAGACCTGTCTCTGGTCACCTATGGCCACTAGGACCTCTTCCTTCTGTGATTTCCTAAGGCTGTGCCGTCCACACATGGTCTCAGGTCAGTTTAGAGTGATTGCTATACACTCTCCATGAGCTCTTTCTCCCTGTTAGATTGAAAATTCCTTAATGCAATAAATTACCATTTATATGTGTATCTTTACCAGAACTCAGCTGTCAAGGCAAAAAATAAAAAAAAATCCCAAATAACAATGTCTAGTTTTGAACTTTGAAGACATGAAAGGGATGGGAGCAAGGGTGGGATCATTACCAAGGTAAAATTCTTGACAATTTTCCAATTAGGCTACACACCCAAAATTATTATCTGGGGAGTAGTACACTCACTGACCCCTGTTGCTGTTCCCATGAATGATGAAATACTCTGGGTGTAAAAAAAACTCTATATTCTGATCTTTTTAAGTGAGAAGATATTTGCTGATTCTAACAAAACAGATCATAATTGAAAGTTAACTGGGGAGGAAAACTCTCCAAAAGCCAAACTCACGAAAAATTAATTTCAATACAGGATGCTTACATGTGACATCATGACATTTCCTAAAATGAGAAAGAAAAAAGCTTCTTAAAATACTTACCAGAAGTGGTATTATTTGTAAGGTGTTTTTGATGGATGGATTCTTGCAAATGGCTTCTTGTACATCTGGAAGAATTATGCCATGACACAAAAACAATCTAGTTATGTATTTGACTGAGAAGAATGACTAAAAGAATCAGATACTAAATTCTGGTATGTCAAAATATTCAAAATCGAGTTGAGTCTTTTTTCTATTGTCCCAGAAACAGTGTTTATACTTATATTAGGTAGGAAACAGAAGCAGTTTGGTTAAAAACAATGACATAAAGCTTAAGTTGATAAGAAGGAATTCCTAATACTTTGACTATTCTATAATGATCTTTATTCAAATACTGGGTTTTCATTTCTTTCCGTTTGTCTTTCTTCTTCTTCTTTTTTAAACCAAAAGGAAATTCCATTCTTGGGAGTATGCCAGGAAAGAGGAGACGCTTATTAGCTAGTAAGGCACAAAAGCTGAGGGACTTGTCACCTCTTGCCTTTTCAGTGTTTGGGCTTCTGTCCATACAATAGCAGCAAGGGTCCGGGCAAAAGGAAAGAACAAACAAACAGACAAACCCAACAACCTTCAAGCAGAATCCTTTATGTGAAGCATGAAAGTATCTAACAGGGAAATATATATATATATTATATATATATTAGAGAGAGGGAGAGAGGGGGCCGAGGGGCAGAGGGAGAGGGAGAGAGAGAATCTTAAGCAGGCTCCATGTCCAGCAGGGAGCCTAATGTGGGGCTTGACTTCACAACCCTGAGATCATGACCTGAGCCAAAATCAAGAGT